ATATAGTTTTACCTTTTCCCTTCAAATTCATAGGATTTTATTTCTCTTTCTTGCCTTATTGCACTGGCTAGAACCTCCAGGATAATGTTGAATAGAAGTCACGACAGTGCACATCCTTGCTCTAGACCTGATCTTAGGACCAAAGCATTCAGTCTTTCACCATTAAATGTGATGTTAACTGTAGGATTTTCAAATATGTCTTTTATAGGTTGAGGAAATTTTCTTACATTACTAGTTTGCAGAAGTTTTTTTAGGAATATATCCTAATTTTGTCATATGTTTTTTCTGCATCTATTGAGATAATCATATAGTTTTTTCTTTTTGTCTGATAATAAGATGGTTACATTGATTGATTTTTTATTAAGTTCTAACCTAACACTTTAACTTTTCACCTGCTTTAATTTTTTGAAAGTTTCCTTTCCCATTTTAAAAATTAGGGTAAATTTACATACAGTAAAGTGACCCTTTTTATTGCAGTGAATTTTGACAAGTGTATACAGTCATGTAACCACAACTACAATCAAGATATAAAATAGTTACATCACTTCTCAAAATTTCCCCATGCTCCTTTTGTAGTGAATCCCTTCTCCTACATTCTATTCTGGTAACTATGGATGTTTTCTGTCCCGATAGTTTTGTCCTTGTGAGAATGTCATATGAATGGAATAATATAGTATGTAGCCTTTTGTATAGGGCTTCTTTTATTCAGCACAATGCATATGAAATTATCCCTGTCGTTACCTGCATTCCTTTTTCATTGCTGAGTAGTATTCCATTGAAATATTAGGGTTGTCTGTAAGCTTTAGGAGAAAAGGGCAAGATTGAGTCAGAACCACCCAGGACTCAATTAGCAAGTTGGGAAGGTGCAAAGATAATAGAGAAAGTACAGAGTGAGTGTAGATTGTAATCAAGTGATGATGATGAATTTCCAGGCATAATTCAGGAGAGTCAGATTTACCCATAAGCCAGTTCTGAACTTGGGTCTGAAGCAAGAGGGAAGAGAAGGGTAGCTCTGACACCAGATTCTGAAAGAAGAGGAAGAAGGAAGTCTTCCTACAAGATGACCTGTAAGTCTTGCATGAAGAGGTGTGGATTATTTGCCCTTGTATCCCCAGGGGACTACCAGGGGAAACATTCCAGGCAGATGGAATTGCAACTTTAAGGACCCTGAAGTGTGAATCTTGTGCTCAGATTAGTTTACAGGTAAAAGAAATACTTGGCGAGATCGACTATTGGAGTTTTTCAGACTAAAATCAACTCTGCAATACCATGTGACTGTGAGACATGAGGCTTTGGGATCTCAAATGAGCACTTGTACCTTAGCACTTGTTGATGAGAAAAATATTGAATCTTTTTTCAGGCCCCATTGCTACTCTCTGTGAAAATTGGTGAAGTTTTCATTTAAGAGAGGATGTGAACTGAGATCCTGAGGTTTTGCCGCTTTCATGCCTAGTGTCCAATGCTCAGATAGGACACTTGATATGTGCAAGAGAACTTCTTACACAGAAACTGTCCATCTCGATAGGCTTTTTCTACTCTGGCTTCTCATATTTTCCCCAGATTAGGTTAGATTATTGGAAAGAAATGTACTAGACCATATATTCTTAGTTTCTCATGGAAAGGAACTGAATAACTGAATTAAATATTAATTATGTGCTGCAGATTTTTCTCATGGAAATCATTGAACAGGGACTTTTGAAGAAAAATTTATTTTTTCAAGACTAGAATTATGGAGAACTTTGATTTTAATAAGCAGTGATTTTTATAGCCAAATTCACCAGAATCTTTTCCATAAATTGATCATTAGAAAAGTCTGTCCAGATGGCTTCTTATTTTTTTCATTGGTGTTCATTTCTGTCTCAGATGCCAGGAAGCTGAATGCCACTATAGGCACCCATTAGCAATGCATGACGGCATCCCTATAAATGGAACGTCTACATTTCTTTTTTTAAATTTGGGGAGATGTGTGTTTCATTTATTTGCCCCACTATAATTGTGCGATATAATATGAGCCACTCAGTTCCTAAATACACACATGCACACATAATGCCTCTCATGTTTTGTCTAGTACATCTGTGTCTACGTATTATTTTCCTCATCCTTTAAAAAGGAGAGTTGCAATGTTTCCAAAGTGAACTGGGCAGGAACTCCGCTTCAAGATGGTAGGTCCCTGTTCAACCCAGTTATTTATATTTAGGATAACCTTATTTATCGATCACGTTTGATAAAGGAAGTGGACTCGGTAGTGGGACAGCAGGAGTAATTAAGGTGATGGTCCTATCTATATTATACCTAAAGGAGCAGGACAACTAGCATTGGTGGTGAGTTTTGTTTTTTTTTTAAGACCTAAAACACAGTAAAAAAGCACAAATCTTAAGTGTTCAAGGGCATTAATTTTTTAATATACTTCTATAATCGCTACCCATATCAATTTTAGAATATTTCCAGCACCCTAGAAAACTCTTTCGTGTTAGCTTACGTTTTTGAAATAAACATGTAGTCAAAACAAAACTATTAGGACAAACATCATTTAAAGTATCTAAGAGCATGCACTTCATATCCTTCGATAGCTCAGTTGGTAGAGCGGAGGACTGTAGGTTGTTTGATCATAGTCATCCTTAGGTCGCTGGTTCGAATCCGGCTCGAAGGAGTTACCTTTTGAAAGGTTTTCATTGACACTCTGCAGGCCTGGACCCCTAACACACAAAAGAAAATTTGAATACAGTGAGCAGTAGACTGTCACTTGTGCTCACAGGTGAACTCATAGGACAATCAATCAATAGAAAAACGATCCTCAGGTACATACACAGGAAGCTGCTAACAAAGGTTGCTTCACGGAGGGTCAACTGGGTCGCTTGAAGACGGGGTCTCCAGGGAGCCTATCTTTTCACCAGTCGAGAAGGGGTCGTGGAGAGTGTGGAGAATGCGAAGGACTCCCTGCCCCAAGGTTTTCATTTTAAATTTTTTCGGAAGTTCTTTAGGGCTCTGTTATGTTGATACTTAGGTGAATAGACAGTTTTCTTAATGACGATTTCAAACATACACAAGGTAGAGGAAATAGCATCAATTACCATCGTAGCCATCACACTGGCACTACTGACATCATCTATTCTCCAACATGCCCCTCTCTCCGCACCCGATCTTTTGAAGCAATCCCAAGATGTACTCTCATTTTCATTCACTGTTGCTCAGTGTTTTGAAGACGTTCGTGTTAAGAATTAAAAGCTGGACCAAGTCTGTTCTCTCCATCCTCTCTCCTCTCCAAAAAAGCAGCAGAAAGCAACGGACAATTCTCTTCAATAAAATTAATGAAACAGGTGTGTGAGAACTTAAGGAATTTAGTTTATTAAATCTTTAGACCACTCCAAGGAAGAGCATGGGGTGGTGCTACTGTTAGGGGCCGGCCAGGTGGCACAAGCGGTTAGGTGCATGCGCTCTGCTGAGCAGCCCCGGATTCCCAGAGTGGCACACCCCCTTCTCACCCTGCCCTTCCCCCTCGCAAGCCATGATGTGGCGAGGTCCCATATAAAGTGGGGGAAGATGGCACGGATATTAGCCCAGGGCCAGTCTTCCTCAGCAAAAAAAGAGGATTGGTAGGTGTTAGCACAGGGCTGATCTCTCTCACACACACACACATAATAAAAAAAAAATAAAGAAATATACTTAGAGGCCTGTCCCGCTATAGCTGTCACCTGGAATCGTGACTGTGGACACATCTGCCCCCCTGCTTAGGTCCTCTGGGTTACTTTGTGCCCCCATTGGAAAGGGACGGGATGTACCGCTGCAGCAAGCGCGGATTTATCCTCAAACTCGTCTCTGGCTCCTTCTAGAAAGCCGGTGGGATTATTTTTATGCATTCCAGGGCTCGGCCCTTTGCACTCTTGCCCGCGGAACATGCGAGCCGGAGGAAGCTCGGCGCTTAAGGATGCGGAGGTAGCTCCGGGGGCGGGGGGGGGCGGGGGGGGCACGTCCTCGGGCAACGAGAAGGGGCCAAGGCCGAGCGCCCGCGCGGGGAGAGCAGCCTCTGGTTTGGTGTAAGGATCGCGCCCAGGCCGTCTGGCTGGCGCGGAACCGCCGGGGCCTGGTCTGCTTCTGTGGTTGTTGAGTGCATAAAGGGAAAAGCAATTTGTGATCTAAGGGCAAATCTGTGAAGACACGTCCCTGGAGACCAGAACTAAGCGCGCCACGCCGGGGGCGCCTAAATTGGGCCCGTGCATACATCTGACAACATGTATTTGTAATATAAATATAAATATGAATAATGTCTCAATACAAATCTATAAGAGGCGCCAAATAATTTTTTAAAATAAAATAATTGTCACATTTAATTTTTTTGACATCTTATCACAAAACCAAATTTAAAATGAATATTTTAAACTAAAAGTTCACGACTAAAATTTTCAAAAATTAAACTACTTAAATTTCTCTAAGTTGTATTTGCAAAGTTAAATTACATTTTCAAAACTTAAGTTTAAAAATATTCAAAGCTCTAAGCTAAACTTTGAAAAATAATTAAAATTTCAGAACTCAATTAATTTTAAAAATTGAAATTTAAGTAAACTTTAAAAGGTGAGTCATCTCCCAACCGGAGTCGCACCCGGGTCCCTTGGGTAAAATGCTATTTTGATCGCTAGAACACCAAGAAACCTCCGCCCAGACCCGATAACAGTTCTCCAAGATTTCTGGAAGAGCCTGCCTCCTCTCGCCTTTTTGCGTCTCTTTAAAGCGTTCCATAGGGTGTGTTATACTTGGGGATCTGCCTCTTCCGCTTCTGCCTTCCCAGCTCAGGAGTCAGGTCAGTCTAGCTCTCCTCAGCCTCGGACCCTGCTCCACGCTTTGAATCTCCCAGACGACCTGCGACGCCACATCCTCCCTCCCCCCTCGGCCCGGATCTGCCTGCACCGCCCAATCTTGTTCTTTCCTTTGTCACCATCCGCATCGGCCCCGCCTCCTCGACGCAGGCCGTCGCACAGGATGCGCCCCTGACGGCGCGCCGCTTTACGGCTGTCGTGCCTCACGTATCGGCAAGCATGGAGGCAGAGGAATCAGAGAAGGAAACCGCGGAGCAGGAGCTTCTGGAAGGGAGAGACGAGAAACCAGAGGCGGAGGAGGAGCCGGAGGAATCTGAAGAGGCGGCTTGCGGCGGCAAGAAGCGGGTGGTGCCAGGTATTGTGTACCTGGGCCACATCCCGCCCCGCTTTCGGCCCCTGCACGTCCGGAACCTTCTCAGCGCTTACGGCGAGGTCGGGCGCGTTTTTTTCCAGCCCGAGGGTAAGTGCGCAGGCCTTTGCGGTGAACGGAGGAGTGTGGCTCTCGCTGACCGGTGAGCACGCATGCGCGTCTTGTTGCCTCGGCTGCGTGGGTCCGAGGCGCTGGTGGGCACGGGACCGGCGCCGGGCTCCTTTGGTAAAGGTGTAGTGCGCGTGTCTGTTAGGAGCCTGGGGTGGGGTGTGGGTGGCTCATTGTGCCTAGCTGAGCCTTAGTTCTCGGATACTTAACTTTTGGATTCTGATCGCAGCTCCGCCCGCCCCTCTTTCCTGACCTGAATTTACTAGTTTGTTAAATGAGGACAGCCTGAATAAAAATCTCAGGGGCATTTTCACTAAACACATCTCCTTTGTCATCCCGGCCCAAGTAGAGAAACATTATATGATCAGCCGCCCTCAGCTCTCCTACAGGCACTAATTAGAGTTGGGTTTGGGGGTCTGTGCGGGTTTTGAATAGAATGTTCAGGACAGACCTGATTTCCTGATGTTGACATTTGAGGAAAAGATTGAGCTAGACGTGGGGAAGGGTGCAGGGGGGAAAGGGTGGACCTGTAGTTCTCTTCCGGGCAAAGACCTTGAGCTGGGGTCCTGGCCCTCGGGCAGGATTGGAGGACTCGGGGAGTGGGATGTGAGTTGAGTGGGCGCTTCGTAGGCCTCCTTGACCACTTCTCTGTCTTTGGCGCGCAGACGGGTTCGTGAGGCGCAAGAAGAAGGCAGCGGCAGCTTCTGCCACGGGAGGAAAAAAGCGGTCCAAGTACAGCAAGGACTACACCGAGGGCTGGGTGGAGTTCCGGGACAAGCGAATAGCCAAGCGAGTGGCGGCCAGTCTGCACAACACTCCCATGGGGGCCCGCAGGCGCAGCCCCTTCCGTTACGACCTATGGAACCTCAAGGTGAGGGGAGAGACTTGTGTGCTGCACCTCTCATCCTCCCGCCTTCGCACCCCTAGCCCAGACGCCTCTCCATCCCTGACCTACTCTACCCTGATCTTTTCTTGTTTTCCTGTCCGCAGTACCTGCACCGTTTCACCTGGTCCCACCTCAGCGAGCATCTTGCCTTTGAGCGCCAGGTGCGCAGGCAGCGCCTGAGGGCCGAGGTTGCCCAGGCCAAGCGAGAGACTGACTTCTATCTTCGAAGTGTGGAGCGGGGACAGCGCTTCCTTGCTGCTGATGGGGACTCTTCTCGCCCAGATGGCTCCTGGTCCTTCGCCCAGCGTCCTACTGAGCAGGAGCTTAGGGCCCGGAAGGCAGCTCGTCCAGGGGGACGTGAACGGGCTCGCCTGGCTAATGTGCAGGACCAGGCCCGGTCCAACCGTGGGCTCCTTGCTAAGATCTTTGGAGCACCGCCACCCTCAGAAAGCGGGGAGGAACCCTGACTGGTCCAGGACTCTTGAGGGGCAGGGAGCCCCCTTTCACCTCCTAGCCCAGCCCTGCTTCCTGTACCTGATAATGACTACCCAAGCAGACATTTTATTGTGTTTCTCAGACCAGGAGTCTCTGGTGAGTGCCCAGATGTAGAAGTTTTGTGGGCCTCTCCATCACCCTCCAACTCTTACACATTCCTGGCTGAAGCACCTAATTCATACTAGCACGATTATGACCACTGCAGATGCCTGTTTGTCTTGTTTGATTCTTGGCTGCCTGCCTCCTGCCCAGTGGGGGCCTATAAAAATCCTACTTCCTGGCTCCAGACAGAGCCTCTACTTAAAGCTAGAGTGATAATGGCTAGTCCAGGTAGCTATTTACCAACCAAAGGTAAGGGCAGCAGCAACCTCCTTTTTATTTAGAAAAGATTAACAGAGACGGGGTAATGGCCTGGAACTGAGTTGGGAGCCACTTTCCAAATGTATTTATAGAAAAGAAAAAATATATATTTTTTATATGCCTTTGTAGTTTATGGGGGGGGCTGTTGGATAAGTTCCAACTTCCATTTCCTTATGTCTCATTCACTCACCGTCACTCTATCTCCTGATCTCAGAGCTCCCCCATTCGACCTGGATCCTTTTCTTTCTATCTAATTAATTTCTTAGTCTGTTTTATTAGTTATCTAATTCAGCCATTACTAAGTCACTGTATGATAACATAGAGTCTTACGGACTACTGCAGAGAGACAGATATTTAAGAAGTAAATGTATAGAAGTACTACAGAGATCATGGTAGATATGTATAAAGAGTAGAGTGGGAGCCGTGGGAGGGCATGGTTGATTCTTATTTGGGAAGGTAAGCAGTGCCCTCAGTGTGGAGCTGATTCTTGATCAGTCTTCAGAGATGGGTCAGTTTTCACCAAGTTTTCCAGATCATTCCTGAAAAGTGAACAGAAGTCTGAAAGAGCCTGGGGTACACTTATAAGCTCCATGGATAGAGTGTTGGGTTCAAACCATTGTAAAGATGGGCAGTGCCTAGGAGGTAGTTGGGCACAAATGATTCCCCTCTGGTGTGCTTCTACGTGTTGAGGCTCAGACAAGGGAAGTTCACAACAACATGCAAAGCAGCCCTGGAGGCTACAAAAAATCAGTGTAAGCCATTTAGAGGAAAAGAAAACTGAGGTGTCAAAATAAACTAAGAAAGATATCTACACACAGCCTCATATAGATTAAAACTGGTCAGTATCCATGATAAATTTAACTGGAAGTGGTAGAGTGATGATAATAATTTGGGTTTTGCTTGTGCTGTTTGTTTGCTTAGTTTTTTTTTTCCCCACTGTCATCAGTATAATGATCCATGTGTTCTTCAGGTGAAGTGGATTCATCCACTTTGGCTCTAAAATAACCTAACCATAGTAAGATCTTAATTTGATAGGTACACTTTATTTGGGAGAATAAAAATGACCATACAGTAAAAATTGTGGTCTGCATGGTGTTAGATTTCTCACAATCCATACACCTCTCATACCCAGCACACAAACACATCTCCTGTGTACTGTTGTTCCCTCATCTTAGGAACTTGATATCCTTGTTTCTGTGTTCATTCCTTGTGTGTTTGTTTCATGTGGATTGTTTCCTCGGGTGGTGATGTCTGGAGCCAAGAAAATCTAGTGACAAGCTGTGATATTCATTTATTAAAAACTCTGAGTGCCCATTGCCATCTTTGCTAGATAAAGAGAATACCAAGGTGAAGAAACTTCTCCTCTAGTTGCTAACAGCTTAGAAAGTAAAACACATATAGGTCTTAATAATAAATGAAATGTTCCCAGGCTGGTTGGCATTTAGGTATCGGTTTATTCAAGGTCAGCATCTCAGGTTCCAATTCAAATAGTTCTGCACAGTGAACTCACACCTGCAGCCAGGTACGCTGGGTAAGTCACAGGTGGAGTGAGGAATCAAAAAAAGAGTGGTTGAAAGAAAATTAACTTCCCAGGAACTGTCATCTTGATTCTCTCTAGACTCTAAGCACTTTGAGGGCTGGAAAGTGTACTTTTTTACACTTCGAGTTTTGTTCCCGTTTAAACAGCACTTAGTTTTTTATATGAATTAATTCATTTAATACACAACCATCCAATATTGTATTATCCCCACATTTCTGCCATTAAAAACAGGCTCAGATATGACACAGTTTGCCACTTAATATTTTTTATTCCCAGATGTTTTCCCACTGCATATGATGAATGCTTATTGTATGAATCTCATGAAACATAGGCTTATAGAGGAAGAGTAGCTGCAAACATGAATGGAATTATTTTAATACCAAGAATAGCAAACTGGGCAATTTAACTCCCAACCGTCCCCTATACAATTAGACTCTATTATGAACCTGTTGCAATGAATACTCTGAATCAGCTTAGTTCCACTCTCAACTGAGAAACTGGTGCACTGCATTTGCTGGAAATAGATTAAATCAGTAAAACAAGGAAGGGGATTCTGTTAAAGAGATTAACAGGGCTTTAATGGGGAGTGTCTGGGCCCATGAAATCATTCCTAAAAATGGCCAAAAGTCACAGAGCACTCTTCCTCAGTTTACTTTTCCATGATTCCTCATATCTGGAGGCTGTTTTGCTGTTAATACTGTAGAGTTGGCAAAGGAAACACTGTGTAAGCCTCAGGGATGTGCTCCGTTCCTCCAGGAGACAACGTTTTAGCAGGTTGCTTGAGGTCCAGTATTAGATTTTCTGCCATTTATGAGGAAGTCCTACATTGGACTCCCAGCAGAAGGAGTAATTTTCTTCCTGTTTGGTCAATTATGTCAGCTATCCCCACACCCACACCAAACTGTATCTGAGACACTGAGTAATAACTCAGAGGAACGGAATGGAAAGAAATGGGTTAAATCGTGCTTTTTTAGTCTCTCAATTTTTTACAGTACAAACATCCTGAATACCCCTGAGACTTGAACCAAGCTTGTGTGAACATCAATGTAAAGTTTTCCCCTGTCCTCAGCCTCCCCTCTCAGGTGTGAAGACAGGAGAATGCAGAAAAACTTACAACAGAGCCCAGAGTAGGCAGGGACCAGTCTTGTCCCAGAGCCTTTCCTGTAGGATCAGGGAGGGTGGGGCCGGATTAGTGTGAAAACTACCAGGAAAGAAAACAAGGGAGGGAGGGACAGTAAGATGTATTTGAGAAGCCTGTCTTCTCACCGGCAAAGAGTGGCTTCAATGGGTAGCAGGTTCCAGCCAGCCCAGTGGGAACCAGCGCGAGGACGAGGCCACCTCATTCCAGGACTGGTCCTAAGGTGCCTGACAATTACCTGGGTTCCACGCCGGTTCCCACCCACTCCCCTCCTGTGAGGGGCTACTGCAGCCTCACAAACCACTGTACTCCAGGCCCACGAGCTGAGCCTCTCCCTGAGCCTCACTCTGGCTTGGCGTTTCAAGAGAATTGTGTGGTTCTGTCTGTTTTAAACTCAATACATTCAGGAATAACTGATTCCATCATAAAGGTTCTTAACCAGGGAAAACTGACTATTTCAGAACAGTTTTCGGAATCACATTTCTGGGATTAAATGTAAAAAATGTACCCTGGGACATTTTCTTTGCATGTAGAAATAGGGAGATAGATGGTAGAGTTGTAACATGCTTTTTGGTGAGCGCAGTAGTACAATTTGATGCTCCGTACTCTTTAAGCACTGTATGGAATTGCATGGTTATAACACAAAGTTTTAACCATTCGCTAACATGGGTATTGAGGTTGCCTCCAATTATTTACTATCATAGAAATGCTGTGATGAACATCTTTGTACATATGTTGATGTGTATGGTATGAGTATGTCTCCAAAATAGAATTAAGGAAAATGAAAATTGTGGGCTAATCACCGTAATATGTTAGATGCAAAATTGCTAAGCAAAATATTAGCAAATTGAATCCAGCAAAATATAGAGGAGATAACACAATATGAGCAAGTTGGGTTTATTTCAGGTGTGCAAAATTGGTTTAACACTTGAAAGTCGATATATTTAATCATATCAACATAACAAAGGGAAATCGTAAGAATATCAATACATGCAGAAAAAGAAAAAACATTTGATAATATTCAACATCCATTCACTATACTGCAGGTTCATTTTTCTTACAAATTAGGTAACCATGTATGTGTGATTCTATTTTGCTCCGTTAGTTCTATTTGTCTATCTTTGGCCCAATACCACAATGTCTTATTATTGTAACTTGATGATGGGTCTTGACGTATGGAAATGGAAGTCCAGTTGTTCTACTTCAGATTGATTTGGCTATCTATGGCCCTTTGCATTTTCTTAGAATCAATTTTTAGTTTACACAGACAATCTTGCTGTGGTTTTGATTGGGATTATATTTACTCTAGATAACTTTGGGGAGAATTGACATTTATGATATATTGAATCTTCCAATTAATGAACTTGGAATATTCTATTTATTTAAGTTTTCTTTAATTTTTCTGAAAAATAACTTATAGTTTTCAGTGTAGAGGACTTGAGCATTTTTTTAGATGTAATTCCCAGAACATGTGAACATTTTTATGTAGGACTTTGCAGGTGTGATTGAGTTAAGGCTCTTGAGATGGGGAGATTATCCTGGATTATCTGGATGGGCCCTAAATTTAATCACAAGTGTTCTTATAAGAGGGAGGCAGAGGAGATTTGACATGGAAGAAAAGTCCATGTGATGGAAGGAGAGGGCAGCAGAGTCAGAGAGAAGGCTACACCACTGGCTTTTAAGATGGAGGAATGACCCATGAGCTGAAGAATATAAGGAATGAGCTCTAGAAGCTGGAAAGGGTAAGGAAAGGGATTCCTCCTTAGAGACTCTGGAAGGAGGGCTGTTCTACCAACGTCTTGATTTTGGCCCAGTGAAACTCATTTCAGACTTTGGACCTCCAGAACTGTAAGATAATAAATGTGTTGTTTTAAGCTACCAAGTTTGTGGTAATTGGTTATAGCAGCCACAGGAAACTAGTGCAAAAATCTATGATGTTGCTAACTATTTCAACAAATTGGAGATACACTTCCACTGTTACCATTGAAAAGTCAGCTACAAACCTTTAAAAATACAGGAGAGAAAACCCAAACCTATTTAGAAAGAGGTTGTTTAGAGTCCAAATCCATTAATTGAGCAGTAAATTTTGCTTCTGAGATTTCTAAAAAGAGAATAAGTGAACATGAAGGGTAAAATAATAAGTCTTGCTGTCTGATAGAGCAAGTTAATGAAAATTGAAAGGAAGGCAAAAAATTATATGGTTATCATATAGATACACAATTGCATTTTGTTAAATGCAATAGGGTAAGGAGAATAAATAAAAGACATAAGGATGGGAAAGAAAATACCAATTTTTTTAAAAATAAGCTTTTTCTTGGAAATCAATAGAACAGGAATTTATGGTATAGTTTCCTATATAAAGAGCAAATAACCTAATGAAAAATGTCTTGCACTTCTGGGTGTGCATTTCACTATGGCATCATTTGAAAATCCAGGGCAGAATTTTAAAATGAAGCACTAGTTACCTTGGAATAAAGAATAAGACACCGGAGTCCAGAGCTATGGCTTTCACTTGGTGTGAAAGCACCCAAAGATAGAGCTTTACTCACTTAAAGGGATAGAAAATAGAAAACAAGCCCTTGCCTGGGTCCTTTTCAAGGAACAATTTGCTTTGCTTGGCTTTCCTGATGGTCATTTGTCTGTTTTCTCTCAACTCCTTTTCCAACCTTCTGTTACCAGAGCCTGCAAACCACATTTTTGGACCTCTTGTCAGCTGCCTTGCAGCCAAGTTTGGTCCATGGGCGACACTGGAGATGAGAAGGGTAGCTGAGGGGAGAGGGCGTCATAAACCTGGTGACGCCTTCTCCAGCCGTGTGGCGCGCGCCCAGCCTCCTTCAGCAGGTCTAGTAACCGGCAGGCTGTGGCTGCCCGAGACTACCCGAGTTAGTGCACTCCAGGGAGATTCTCAGTACCTCCGCTGCAAATCAGTACAGAGAGCTCATTTTTGTTTTTCTCTTTGCCTCCAATTCCGTTGTGTGATGTATCATTGATTAACCAGGCCCTTATCCATCGACCTGTAGCTTCTTCTAGTCATTATTTTTCTTTTAATTGTTGCGATGAATAACTCCGACATGGGTCAATTTTACTTGTTCAAATACAGTAATTGTATCAATTTCCAGAAGCGGAATTGCAGAGTAATTTTGGTAGATAATGTCAAAATGCCTTTTATGAAAAGTGTAAGAGACCATCTTTGGTAGTCATTTTATAAGAGAGAAAACTCGGATGAGTTAGGAAAATACCAAAGTAACGAAACCAGATATCCTCGAAGGGGGCCTCCAGCACTCTCCTTCGCGGTCTTTTAGGCCTTCCAAAGCTCGACTCAAGTTACTGATTTGGGTAGAGGCGACGCCAGTTTGGTGCGGAGGGCGAGCTTTGCAGGGCCTTGGCCAGCTGACCGCTGGTGCTCTTCGCGGTGTGGGCTTTACTGGGTGGATCAACACAGAAGAGGGAGAAGGAGTCCGGAAACAAACTGAGAAGTTGTGTCCAAAATGACGGATTGCACTCCTATCTGATGGTATATCGAAGGTTTTCGGTAAATTTTAATCAATGAACCTATCCCAAAGACGGCTTGGAAGGCGTATTAGCTAGATTTTCATGTAAATTGTGAAAATGGTCAGAATCTGACATTTGTCAGACACAATCTCAGAAGTAAAACCTGGTCGCCAAAGTTCTTAAAAGATTCCCCTTTACCAAAGGACCCGTCCCTGGGTGGGCTCGAACCACCAACCTTTCGGTTAACAGCCGAACGCGCTAACCGATTGCGCCACAGAGACGAGGCTGCTAACTGTTTTTTTCCCAACAAGATTATTTTTCTTTCAGTCTAAGCTGTATGCCATATTTTAGAAATGAACATTTTGTCGAGCATATGTATTGGAAAAATGTTCCCTCGCTTCTTGACCTTTGTTGTTACTACGTTAATGGTGTGTTTTAAAGTCAGAAGTTTTAATAATATAGATATTATTCTTAGAGAGAAATATCAGAGAGTGTCGATTGAGTGGGGAGCAGGACGCGGGACTGGTGCCTGTTTACCCGAATAAGTGTGGGTAAGTGTGAGTATAATCAAAGGGAAGACAACCTTCAGCATTTATTTTCAGTTCAATAAGAGAGTTTTCACTAATAATTCAGCTGATGGAGAAGCTCCTGGAAGGATTCTGTATAAATGAAGACACATTAATTGGGAAAAACACCGAAGAGGGGAAAACCATTTAGGGAAAAATCAGTTGCAACTTTCATCAATGAATCCTAAAATTATCAGGTGAAAAAGAGTACTTCCTAGGAAACAGTGTATTCTCAGGTACAAGAGCAGCATCACAGAGATCACTTGCTAACTCAAAGAGAAAAACAAATCTTTACAAAGAAGAGACCTATGTTTCCACTTAAACGAGGGATCACATTTAGCATCATTAACAATGGGAAAAATTGCCATGTGCTTCCTGATGAAGTCACAGGAAGTACACAGCATCGCCTATGTGATATTCTGGCCAAAAAGGTTGAACTTGGATCTAATTAGGCCCTTAGACATAACTTCTAGCCTATAATTGGTTCATTTAGCTTTTAGCTGTATAACAAGACAATAAAAAATGTTAGTGTCTGTATCAGTTAGGATTCTCCAGAGAAGCAGAATATATATAATAAATCCTATTCTCTCTCTCAATACCTATCTCTATCATCTGTCTATCTATCTATCTATCTATCTATCTATCTATCTATCTATCTATCTATCAATCATTTATCTATCAATTGGTTTATGTGTAGAGCAGGCAAGCAGGCTGGAAACTCAGGCAGGATTTCTAGGTTAGTCTTGAGACAGAATTTCTTCTTTAGAAAACCTCAATTTTTACTCTTAAGAGCCTTCAACTGATGGGATGAGGTTCATCCACATTATCCAGGGTAATCTGATTTACTTAAATTCAACTGATTTAAATGTTAATCACATCTACAAAATGCCTTCACAGTGACATCTAAACTATGTCTAGACATCTAGACTAATGGCTGGGCACCATAGCCTAGTCAAGTTGACACATAAAATTAACCACCACAGCAGCTTAAACACAGCATTTATTATCATGTTCGCAGGTCTGCAGGTGGACTGGGGCAAGCCTGCATTTATCAGCAAAAATGATGAATGTCTTTTTCTCTTTTCAACTGATTAAGTTATTCTCTTGTATGCATTATTTCATTCCACTTTCCATAAGTGGAATTATTTTTATAATTACTGTAACTCAGTATTCCACACCTTGGTTTTCATTTTTTCCCAAATTATTGCTTTAGAATTATGTGATATAATTTTATTTATCTTTAGCATATCTATCATGTTAGTCAACATGTCTGATTCTTCAGTGTCATTGTCCGCACTATCTGCACAATCACACACACATATACACATATTTACATATATACATACACATAAATACACAACAATAGACAAAAAAAGCGGGCGGGTCTCTTCGTGGTTAAGGATTCTGGGGTCATTGAAGGAAACAGGCTCCATCAACCCCAGGGATGCTGGTTGGAATCCAGGTGCCACTTGCCCTTACACTGGGCAAAGTCCTTGTGTATCCACAGAAAGCTCAAAAAAGTACCTTGGAAGTGGAACCTGGGTCAATTGAAACCTACTCTTAGGTTGTATTACCCCAATTCTGCTTTCCACTTGACCACCAGGTGGGAAGAGTGTGTATGTGTGCACTGTGAGGGTATGTATCTAAGTGGGTACGTACAGTCTGTGGGTGGTCAGCAGGTTGGAGCCAGTGTGTGTGTGAGTGTGTGTGTGTGTGTGTGTATGAGAAGGTCAGACTGTGTGTTTTTGTGTTTTGGGGATCAGTGTAAGGTCAGGATGGGTCAGTTTGTTCAATGTGTGAATGTGATCCATGTGTATGTTCAGTGTTTGTGGTGAAGTGTTAGAGTGTCTGTGTGTCTGTCTGTATAAGTCTGTGTTAATGTGATGTCAGCCTGTGTGTGGTCCATGAGTGGTCAGTATGGGATGGACAGCTGAGTGTTTAAGCGTGTCTGTGAGCCCAGTGTTTCTGGAAGTATCAGAGCGTGAGCATGTGGATGTGTGTGTTTGTTCAGAGTAGGTCTATGTTGAGGATGGGCAGCAGCATTGTCTATACTCCTTCCTGTTAAAGTGGAACATCCCTAGGACACATCCAGATTCAATAAACGTGCAAATCGAGCAGAATATGGCACGAGACGGTGGTAGAGACAGGCCTGTGTGATAAGTGAGGGGTAGAGTTGGGGAGAATGGATCCTGATCCATGGAATTCAGGGATTGTCTTTGGGGTCAATGATTCAAGTTTTGTGGGTTTTAATGATTGGGAGCTCTTTGCAGTCAGAGAACAGGGGTCTTTAGAGTCAGAGAAGAGCCATCTGCAAGAGTCAATAATTAAGACATAAAAAGTGAAGATTTGGGGAGGGGGTCTCAGGAAGTCACTAATTTAAGGGCATCTGCAGGTGCATGAGGAAACAATGTGGAGACAAATGCTTTCATGCCCTCTGCTCCATAGGCAGTGACGGGGTAGGATTTATGGGGAACTTAGTGAGGCTCTCTCTGAGGAGAGAGACAGAAGGATGCACTACAAATGACAGACATGGAGAGAGAGGGGGGCAGTGAGACAGATGAAAGAGAGTCATGGAGAGATACTGAGAGAGACATTCAGAGACATGGAGAGACAGAGATTCAGACATAGGAGCAGAGACCCAGAGGCAAAAGGAGATAGATACAATTTGAAACTGAGAGAGGCAGAGACTCCCTCCATAAAACACGTTGTGGCGGCCCACTGCCCTAGGAATAAGTTCCATGTCCTGAACACAACCCCCACCCCAACCCCAAACACACTCGCACACACACACAAAGATCTGGCCCTGGAAACCTGTTTATTGCTTGATTATAGCAGGATTCCCCTACTTCCTACCCTCCAGCCACAATGGCTCACCCTTCTGTGTGTCATTTCCACTCAGGATTAAAAGTCCCTTAAAGAGCAATCTGCTTCACCTATATTGTGTTACAAACTGACAGCTGTGGTTAAAGTAACGGGGTTCCATGTTTTGAAAACAATCAGAATCACATCTAGTGGGGAAAGAGTTATTTCTCTACAGGACAAATGCTGGGCAAGCAAAAACACCATTAACCAGAATATTTGATTAACCAGGACACCCTATTCGCTGATTCTGCAGGAAAATAAAGAGTTTGTAGTATGTGCCCAGTTTTTGACGATGGAGCAGTGATAACTGTGTGTGATATGTCTGGAAAGAGACTGAGAAGTGCTATTATATTGAACATGTTAAGCCCTCTCCATTCGCTTTACAGATGGTCTGTTCTGGTTGTCAGCACTGCTCTGATTCTGAAGGGAATGCTCTGCTTTGTGCTGTGTGTAGTCTGCTGTTGCCCAGTAGTGCTGTGGTAAACACAGAGAGCCTGTGGATTGGTGAGGAGCTTTACTTTGGGCAAGTTCTGAAGAAGCTGTGGGAGGCTGTGACAGCACTACCTAAGGATGTGAGGTCAGTGGGAGTTGGTGATTTGTGAAGTTGTAATTTTTTTAAGCAGTTAAAAGCCTATTTAGGTAAATTTGAAAAATCAGCTTTCTATAATATTTTCTGTTCTAGATGAGCAAAAATTGTAAAAATATTAAGGAGTTCTGTCTCATTAGAAGGGAGTATGAAGGTGTAGAGTCATTTCTAAAGGGAGGAAGCCTTGAGAACAAGCTTTCATGACCACTAAGTCTGGGGCCAATTAATGAAAAACTGAACATATTCAGCTCTTTATTGAAATTGAAATAAAAAAAAATGAAAGAAGAGAAATCTACATGTCCAGAACATGATGATTTGATGGATATCTTCACAAGAACAGAGAACTAGAAGATGAATTATAACCTTCCAATATCAAGTAGCTGAAGCCTTCAAAATACATCAAAAATATGAAGAACAGCTTCTGATAGTCAAAAACACTGGTCTGAACAGAAAGATGCACTTTCAGAAAAGTCTCAGTCTTCTTTTACAAACAGCAGGAGAACAGAAAAACTGAATGTTTGAAACTCTATAGTGCATATAAATCTTTACTGATAAGGAATGTCAGATCGGTTCTCTCAAGAGTGACAGATCTGGCTGCTGTACTTGGGGAAGATAACATGGATGATGTAAATTAGAATTGTATATAAAGATTAAGTCAGAAAATGGATGTCCTTTTGTGATTCATTAAAAGGATTGTTGAAGAAACTGATTTATGCTGCACCAGATTCTTCTTGAAAAACTCTTAAAGGAGAAAGAAACCAAATATACTAAATTTGCTGAAAAAGACAGTAGAAAAGAAATACTTTTGGATCATATTAAATATGTCCAAACTTGGGAAGAATCTATGCAGACAGAAAATGCTTGGTTTGAAAGTGAGTTTCAAAGTTTTCAGGAGAAAGTTAAGTCATTCAAGAAAATGAATTGAAATTCCAGAGAATATTTGCTCTACAGAGAATTCACTGCTTAATATGGAGGAAAAACTTGCCAAAGTAGATGAAGATATGAGCCATCGATATGAACAGTTGCATCCTATGGAAAGCAAGCCAAAGATCTTGCAGAAAATCTGGAAAGTATCATTTGTTCTTCTCAAAGCCAGATGAATTCCCATGAGGAAAACTCATGATTACCGGATGTCAGCTCTGTGAGCTGAGGAAAACCCAACGACTTAAGAAAATAAAATGCATACAGCAAACAAAACTATATTGAAGTCAAAGAGGATCCACATGCCCCTGTTCTAAAGGGGGCACTTTGGAGAGGGCTGAGATGATAGGGATCTCCTGGAATATCAGATCATCAAGGAAGGAGGAAGGTTAAAATGAGTGGGTTCAGATATCCAGGATCCAAAGTTGCACTGTGAGAACCTGAAGAAACCTAGAGTCAGAAGCAAATGACCCCCTAGGACAACTCTGTTCTAATCCCAATCTTTCTCCAAAAAGGTTCCTCACTCTGGCAGACTTTCTGAATCTGCAGACTTCAGAAGTTGTGATACATCTTAAATTGATAAAGTACATGGTCCATCATCTTCAGAAATAGAGTCCAGTTAGAAATGCTATGAAGATGTTCTTGACGATTTAAGAACATCTCTCCCACCTGCAACTCGAACAGCTGGCTCAAGCATAGTTCTTCTATCTCACAACTAGAGTCCTAAACGTTCTTAAGAATCCCAGGGACATTTCATGGTCCAAAGACTTCCATTTGCTCTTCCTTCTTTGGAAAGCCTATACTGAGATTCCCCAAAAGTGTGTTCCCTCAAGCGATTTCCTGGACCCAACACATTCTCCATTTACAATGAAAAATTATTCTCCCCCATCACTGGATTTTTGCCCCTATTTGCAAATCTTGAAAGTAGATGTGACTCACCCTTAGGGTTAGTTGAGCCTTAAAGTAAATTTCATTCCAAAGATCGAGAACCATAGCAAGGAGTTGTTTTGTCCCTCATGTAAAGTAATTCTGAATTACCTCTTGTTGAGTGCAAATACTCTTAAAGTGGTTATAAAATTAGATCAAATGAAAGCTTGATAGAATTTTAAATCTTAGTGTTTTGTACAAAGGTATGCCTAAATATTAATCCACAGTACATTACGTCCATTATATTCCAGTAGAGATTAGTGTTGGTATAGTTCTTATTGTTACCTAATCTTCTGTAAAGAAACTATCAGTGGGATTCTGACATGAACAGACCAGCAATGGAGAAATTTAGAATTGCACAAGTAATTTTTCTATATCATAAACTGTATTTACTATAATTCTTAGACAAATGTGAAAGTAGGTTGATGTTTACCTAACACATTTTAGTTGGTTTTAAAAATCATTCGTGCATTGTCAAAAAGAGCATGATACATTAGGTTGTGGGAAGAAACACTGAAGGTCATGGTGTAAAAGCAAAGTTTTGTTGGTTTCAGGGTTATGGAGGGAATAAGAAGAAAATCACTAAATGCCTCAGTAACTGAGGTAGATCTAGAGGCCCAGATTTGGATTTGAAGCCCAGGGGAAAAAAATAATGTTTAAGAAATATTTGAAATAATTTCCATTCAATTTACTTCACAAAAAATATGTAAAGATATAATGTTACCCATGCAGTGAAGGCTGGAAATAATAACACTTTTTAAAATCTTTGCAGTGGGGTAACTTATAGTAGGAAAACTCACATGTGCATAAGAATCGATATGAAAATATAT